GGGCAGACAAAGGAAGAGCCAGGGGATTCTGTGTGTGTGTGTGTGTGTGTGTGTGTGTGTGTGTGTGTGTGTGTGTGTGTGTGTGTGTGTGTGTGTGTGTGTGTGTGTGTGTGTGTGTGTGGTGAAGGTGATGATCTTTTGTTACAACATAACTTTTACTCTTTGATTATGTCTACAGCTTGAGAAAACCGGACTGGCAGCTGAATTCATGCAAAACTTGATATAGAAACCGCTTGTAGTTCAATGCCATTCTTTCCCAGACATAATCTGATGAATAGCTCCTGTGCGTGCATGCTACAGTTAACAGTGCCCATCTGTCATGATAGTTTCACTTCAGTGAATTGTTGTTGGCTAGCCATCTAACTTTAATTCTCTTAACCAAACATTGTTTTAAGGCAGGTTATAAGTTTTTAAATTATAACAAAGGTTTGGGCAACAACCAATGCTGTAATGATTAAACAAATAAATACAAACCAGTTGTCTTACCTTGGCATACAAAATCGGGACAGGAATAATTTTCTAATCCTTAGAGAACAACATTTCTGAAGCTGATTTAGATCACTTACAGGTCCTTGAGTATACATTCATAAATCTGCACACAAATATTAAGCTGAAGGGTGCAGTAACATGAGAGATTAGCCACCGACAGACTCATATACACAAACCAACGCACAATCTCCCTTCAGGCATACCTTTTCACCAGACAAGATTCCATCAACCAAACCAACACAAACTCCCAGGAATTATACTTCAAGTATAGTATTATTGTGATCTTGTGTATTGTTTGAGAAACATGTTTGTAATTCAAATCCAAAATGATAGAAACTCAAACACAAGACGAAGTGTATATCATTTTACTGACAAAGAGTCAAAGAGAAAGTGACATACAGAGGGTGAGTGAAAACAAGAGTGGAAAGTAGAGAGAGAGATTAGGAAAAAAAATCTAATATTCAACTAAATAAACCTATTGCTCCCCTATTTGGTCAAGATTAGATTTCTATGGTCATACTTGACAAATTAAATTGAACAATGTTTACATTCATTTCAGATTGATGATAATTTGAGCCTCTACTGTATTTCCAGATTGTATGGATCATTATTTGCAACAAATAACTTTATTCTCATTTTATTAGTGCTTGACAGATGCATTTTGCTACTGTTTTAAAGATCAGGGAAATCAAATCAATTGCAGATGAGCCTGCCCTATGGTGGCCCTGAAGTGCAAGTCAAAACAACATTTCAAGAAACACCAAAGCATTTCACAAAACACCAAAGCATTTCAGGAAACACCACAGCATTTCACAAAACACCACAGCATTTCACAAAACGCTACAGCATTTCACAAAACACCACAGCATTTCACAAAATACCAAAGCATTTCACAAAACGCTACAGCATTTCAGGAAACACCACAGCATTTCAGAAAACACCCCCTCTCCAGCGCGTCTTGTTTAAATGATAGGAGTAAACACAGCTGACAGCCGCGGTGAAACCTAAAACTCGAGCGAGTAGAGTGATGCGAATATTCGGGGCTAATATCCATGTAAATAATATGGTAGACTACAACAAAATGAACATATTTTACCGTGATTTAATTGTAATACACGTCTCAAAATGTTGCCGAAGTAACAACATACTGATACCAGTTAGTAAAAACCATGAATTAATTCTGTGACAAGTCTGCAGACAAGACGGCAGGCAAAAAACCTTTTAAAATGTGTGTTTTCTGAATGGAGATCGGATCGATCAGGATAAACTAACCTGTAGCTTCAGACATAAATCAAGCAGCGACTGTATTCACCATGACATAGACAGTCTGTGGTTTGTTCCTGTTTCACTTTTGTCCAGTTTCTGAACAGATATGAGGAGCTGGGAGCTCTGTTACCTCATTCACACCAACGGTGTTTCAGGGCCGGTTCGGAGCTGGAGCTTGAAAAGCACCGGGTTTTCCTGTTCACACTGCAGCGGAGCAGCCTCTTAGCTCCGGAATCAAGCACCAAAAAATGGTCCGGCTAGAGCAAAAGCACCGCATACGTCACGCTTACGTCGAGGCGGGGCAGGGGCAGGATCAACTCCTGAACAACAACAAAAAGCCGG